GCGGGGGGGGTGGGGGGCTGCGGGTGGGGCGAGTCCCCGGGCAGAGGCAGCGGCGGCCCTTTGGCAGCAAGGGGTCTCGCCTCTGCTCCCGGGCCTCCCCGCGATGCTGCCCAGGCAAACGGCCCTGCCTGGGGAAGTGCCAGGTAGGAGGAACCTGGGGCTCTGCTCGGGGCTGAGGTCTGGCTGGGCTCCCCACTTTGCTCTGGGAGGCTGTGGATGACAGTGCAAGGAGAGGTAGCATGTGGCTCATCGTGACTCACTGATTCTGTAGCTGATTTCAGAAACTCTCTTGCACCTACGGTGGTAGAATAAGACTGTAGGATCCCTTCTCCACCAACATGAGACTAATCAGCTCTCTGCTTTCACCAGAGCAACAGAAGCTGTTTCTGGCCTCTGCTGAGGCCTGAGAGGAATCTGGGCAGATGGCAGCTGGTGGGAGAGGCACTTGGAAACAGGGTTTGTTTCTTGTTGACATCCAAGACAGCTGCTTTAGAAGTAGTTAAATGCTCAGCTACAGCGCCTATCACCAAGGGTACTGTCTTAGACTTTACTAGATCAAATGAGGTTTAGATTTATTTAATCAGGAGAAGCATATGACATCAGATGAATCAGTGGTGCTTCAAAATTTGTATTTGTAACTACTTCGTGAAAGAAAATGTTTGTGAAGTTTTATAATACAGCATATGAATTTTCTAAATGATTAAAATTCAGCAAGTATGCTGAAGCTTGTAATTTAAATTAATTCCCTTCAGTTAGTGCTCACTGGTATCTGCTTATGTCATCTGTAAGGTTTGAGACTTGCATGCTCCAGGGAGGGAGCATGGTCAGTGTTAATGTAAAAGAATGGCATGACTGCACATCCTTCCAGCAAACTGCTTGCAGATTGTTTGCAAGCATGAAGTTGTTTCTTGAAGAAATTCATAGATGATATTGAATGTGAAAGTCTCAAGTTTTACCAATTAATCAGTTTCCACATTAGCAAACAGAAGAAGATGCATTGACTGAATAAGCGTACGTTATTCTCTCAGCTTTAGTTATAAACCAGTTCTGGTTTTAAGTCCCCAAGTTTGTGATCCTATGGAGATGTATGCATCTACTTGAGTTGATTCAATAGCGTTTGTGCTTAAACACACAGGTATGTTAACAGTAGTGTTACAGCTTCTGTATTTTTTTTCTTTATTAATAATTATAGATCAACAAGCCTGAGAAGCCGGACAAGCCGGAGAGCTGTGATAATGTCAAGGTTGTTGTTCGATGCCGGCCTCTTAATGAACGAGAGAAAGCTACGGGCTACAAAATGGCAGTCAACGTAGATGAAATGAGAGGAACGATAACTGTTCATAAAACAGACTCATCCAACGAGCCTCCCAAGACATTTACGTTTGACACAGTGTTTGGACCAGAGAGTAAGCAGTTGGATGTCTATAATTTAACTGCAAGACCTATTATTGACTCTGTCCTAGAAGGATACAATGGTAAGTCCCTTGTTGTTTTAGGTCACTGATCTTATTTAAGAGAGTTTCACCTTCTGAGGGCTATAGCCCTGTATTGTTTCTGTTGCGGCCTCTAACTTAAAGTAGCCTGAAGGTACTTGCTGTTCCTACTATGGTCGTTAACAGTGGGAGATCAGTGATGAATGAGACTCAGCTGAGGTCAGTTATAGCTGTATGTTTATATTCTGTATCTTCTGATTGCAAAAGATATACACTTTATCTCATTATCAGAATTCTCAGCGGCTCTTCACTATACAATTTCAGTAACCAGGCAGCTGCCACGGTCCTGCAGTAACTAGGTATGCATACCAGACTTGTGCCTATAACTGCTGAATTTTCTCCTCTAAACTTGCTGTTTTAAACTAAGATGACTAGTTAAACACATCTGCCCTACTCCACAGATAGTCTGTTGCTTCCTACAGCTGGGAAGAGTATGACCGTGATTTGTGTGTGTGTCTGTTATGCCTGTAAATGTATTATGTAAAGGAAAGCAGATCCTAGTAAGGAAGCAAATTACTGCTTTCCATAACAGTATGCTATAAACAACAACAGATTACAAAGTTCTTAAAGGTTTGTAAAATGCCTAATAAGCGCTTGTAATAACACACCCAGGTTTCAGCTGATTAAAATTTGGCTTTTCTGAACTGTAACATCAGTGGCTTGACAATCAAAACTTGAGTTTTCAGCAGTGCTAGGCTAAACTTAAGAACCGGTATATTTCTAGAGAACCAGAGTCTGGAATCTCAGTAAAGTTTCTGGATGTCTTCTTGTGCAGGCTGATTACCTAATCCAAATTGTAGCTGCTTTTGCAGGTTCAGAACTGGGCTTGTGCTTTGGCCTGTGTTGTAGAAGCCTCACACTGTTTCTGCTGTGGTGTAGAGCACTAGCAATATTTGGTTTTGCAGTTGACATATAATGATCTTCCTCTAATTGACCATGTTATTAATTGGGCTTGCTTTAATTAGTTGTGTGTGAGACCGAAGTGTACTAGCACTCCATACTTTAATCACTCTGCACAGTTAAAACAAGCTGACTTATTCTTAGATATCTTGCAGGCTGGATAAAAAGCAGTGGCTCAGTGCTTCTTGCTGTGGTTGTCCAGCATTTCTGTTGCTCCTAGCCTTGTACGGTATCTACTGGAGTGGGTGGAAAATTTCAGTGCCATAAAAATAGAGGTGTTTAGTGCCATCAGGCTAAGAAGGGATGAAGTAAAATTGCAGTTAGCAACTTCTTAGAGTTTGTTCATGTATCTTCTTATCCTTCAGGTACTATTTTTGCATATGGGCAGACTGGAACAGGCAAAACTTTCACCATGGAAGGGGTCCGAGCAGTTCCTGAGCTTAGAGGCATCATTCCCAATTCCTTTGCCCATATATTTGGTCACATTGCCAAGGCAGAGGGGGATACAAGGTAAACAGCTTTTCTTCACTGCTTCTGTCTTTTGTGTGTCCGTCTGTGGTAGGAGCCTGATCTTCATAGTGACAACTGAAATGGTATCTCTGGTCCTAGCTGAGAGACTCCTACTTAGGCAGTTCTTGATGGGGTAGCACGATTGTATTGGTATCTCACTGCATTTTCTTTGTGCTCTGTGATTGTGTTTGTTGGACTTCAACAAATGTCTCACATGTCTCACTAAGAAAACTACCCAACTGTTTGTCTTCAGGTTTTTAGTTCGTGTGTCTTACCTGGAAATTTACAATGAAGAAGTGCGGGACCTGCTAGGAAAAGACCAGACACAGAGATTAGAGGTGAGCCTGCTGTTCTAAATGTGATGTTTGTTTTGAATCAGTGAGCAATATTATATTTTAAAGACCAGAGAGGCACTTGAAGGGAAGTGGGAGGTTGGGCTCCTCAGCACATGTACTATTTTCTTTAAAATACAGTAGCTGGATATCACTTCCGACTTCTCTAATCTTTTTCTACTTGGTCAGTTGCATAGTGAGAAACTGGCTCTTCCATCTGAGTCAGTTTTGTGGCTGCAGTTCTACCCCAAAGGCCCATCATCAGTCTTCCTAGGAATTGGAGACTGAGATTTGCAGTCTAGTGACTACTTCCACTTGGGGAAACCAGCGGAATATTGTCCTGCAGGAGTCTTTGTTCCTTACCTGCTCTGGTTCTGAGTGTTGGAGTGTTTTATGTGCAAACCAGAACCTGGAGGAGTAAATCACTGTACTATTACAGTACCATTGAAACTTGCTATTCTGGAATCTCCTAAGGATGCTCAGTCTAAGCTGTTTCTCTCTTAGGTTAAAGAGAGACCTGATGTGGGAGTTTATATCAAAGACCTTTCAGCCTATGTTGTAAACAATGCAGATGATATGGACAGAATCATGACTCTGGGCCACAAGAACCGTACGTAGCCTTGCTGTGGGCGAGTTTATAGCTCAGACAGAACGAAGGTCTGGTTATGAGACCACAGTAGGAGATCCTAGTCCTAATGCTGGAAAGATTGTTCAGCTGAGCAGAGCAAAAAGGGTGTCTCCTCCCAAACCCCTTTTGTGCAGGGGCAGGTGAAGAAGGCTGTGCCTCCCACATTGGCCAGTGCCAGTGGGGGAAACGGCGAAGGGGAGGATGCAATGAGGGCAGTCAGCGTTGTCAGAACTACTAGCGTATGTCTTGATTCTTTTTGCTCTTCAGTTCTGATCAGGATGAACTACAGCTAGCCCTGTGCTGTGAGTGGGAGGTGGTTTATATTTTCTGGAAGACTTCTTAGTTAAGCTCAGATCCTTTTATGATCTGAAGTTCTGACTACTGTTGCTCTTGGCATGGATTTCTGTCTTCTTATTTGTCAAAGTACAGCTGTTCTTGGGGATCAGCTGTGAATGCCTTAGGCTACTGATCTTTGTAGCCTTAAAGAAACAGATGAGAACTACTGCTGCTCTTGGGATGGGAGTCTGAGGTTGCCTTAGAGCTACAGCAGGCTGTAATGCTTGCGCTGCTCCATATTGGAGATGTGCTGCAACTTCAGTGCCCAAGAATACAGTTTGCTGTCAAGTCTGAGCATCCCTCTTCCATCTTCTGAAAAACAGGGTTGGGTAAAGAGGCAGGGATAAGTCTCTTTTCAGAGCAGGAAGAGTGTTACAGGAGCATGTGATTCCTTCTGAAGACGACATTGCTTTTTCTCTCTATTAAAAGGTTCTGTTGGTGCCACAAATATGAATGAGCACAGCTCTCGTTCACACGCCATCTTCACTATCACTATCGAGTGCAGTGAGAAGGGGGTTGATGGAAACATGCACGTGCGCATGGGCAAACTGCATCTCGTCGATCTTGCTGTAAGTAGGACCAGCCGGGTCTGCCGTAACACATGGTGGGCACCGCTGCTCATGTATGCAGTGTTGAAGGCACAGCAAAGGGCATGTCCCCTGTTTCACAGCTAAAGCCCAGACTTCTGTTTAACATTTGACTTCTGTGAAGTATTCATTTGGGGCCTTAAATCAGAGATGTACCAGGAAGAGCCTTTAGTGTAGCTAGAGCCTGTCCCAGTAAAAGGGCTCTCTTGCTCCTATAAATTAATCATTAAATGGATAAACTACATTGGAAAGAGCTCTCTGGACAACAGAACTGGGTCTTTGCAAGAGTTGTTTTTTTTTTTTTGAGGGTTATGACCGTGCAGTGCATCACTAGCAGGTTTCCTCCCCCTGTAACTCACTTTGAACCAATGTAATTGTGCTGGTAAAATGTGTCTTTAGCCCAAACTTTAGTGGTGTATCTTTCCTTGGAGAAGATGAAGGAAAGGGGAGACTAACGGCATTTAGTGTTGGCATGTTAACTTTATTTACGTGATGTATGTTCAGGTTGCTCTGTGAAACTTTAAAATAATTGCAGTGTTGCTTTTCTCCCTTGATAAGATGATAGGAAAGGCTGGAGATGGTGCTTAGCAGCTCCAGCTGAGGCATTTTGTAACTGCTGACTTGCTTCTCATGAAATTTTTGTTCATAGGGACAAAAATCTCTATTTTTCCTAGCTGTATTACTTTGAGTAATCCAGATTTTGCTGGCATTGAAAGCTTCAGTTAGGATCTGTTTGACTTGTCTCTTTAGCAATGTCTGAGGTACTTAGCCAGATTCCCTAGTAACAGATGAGGTGGTTAGTGACATGGCTGCTAGCAAGACTTCAGGTGTAGTTGGTCCTATTTGGAGCAAGGAGGTGTATTAGAGGATCTGTTGTAACTCCTGCTTCCTGTTTCATTTCCAGGGTTCTGAAAGGCAGGCGAAAACTGGAGCCACGGGGCAGCGACTGAAGGAAGCTACTAAGATCAACCTCTCTCTTTCCACACTGGGGAATGTTATCTCTGCGCTGGTGGATGGCAAGAGCACCCATGTGCCCTACCGTAACTCCAAACTTACCCGGCTCCTTCAGGATTCTCTGGGGGGCAACTCCAAAACCATGATGGTAAGCTGAGACGTGCCCTTTCCAGTGCCAGCAATCAAGCTGCATTTTTACGAAGATAGCAAGGGACTTTGCCACGAGAACAGCCTGGCATTTACCTCTTTCAGAGCTGTTTCAGGGCTTAGAGGACATCTTATGTGCATCTTTTTCTATCTTTTCTTTTTGCCTCTGTACAGATGAGGTTCTAAACATAGTGCAAATGTATACATGTGCATGAGATCAAACAGAAGCTGTGCTTGGGTGGTCAAAAGCAGCTTTGGTGTAAGTAGCGGTGCGAGATTGGCAGAGCTGGGGATGGGTCCCTGTGAAATTACTTGTTCTGGGCTCTGACATTTAGTAACTTGGTCTTCGTGTGTCACAGTGTGCAAACATTGGTCCAGCAGACTACAACTACGATGAGACTATCAGCACTCTCAGGTATGCAAACCGAGCCAAGAACATAAAGAACAAGGCCAGGATTAATGAAGATCCTAAGGATGCTTTGCTCCGCCAGTTTCAAAAAGAAATTGAAGAGCTTAAGAAAAAACTGGAAGAAGGTGAGATTCCCCTTCCTCTTAGTGCTTCTGTCTGTTCACACTCAAACAGAATGAGCGTTGGTATATTCTTTGCTATTTGAAGATGTGTCACACGAGTTTAGTAGCTGGTCAGTGTCCTGGTTTTGTTTGCCCTGCTGGGTTCCAGGAGAGGTGTCCCAAGGGCAGCAGGGCGCTGGCGGCCGCCAAGCTTTGCCCACTAGGTGGCACTTGGCACTAGGATAAGCGATGGCTTCTGGGCTGTGCTAGCTGTGCCCAGGCGCAGGAGGGCTCTGGGCACGGCTGGGCACGGGGAAGGGAATTAAAATGTACCATAACAAAAGGTCGAATGTTTTCCCTGTGTGAGGAGGAGGGATGCATTTTTCGGGAGAAAAATGAACCAAATTTGTGGAACTAGAACTGGGGCTGACTTTCAAACAATGCATAGAGAAACAAGAAGCTGCTTTAAGCCCTGTAACTTCATGGCCTTGTGACACTATTAGTCCATCAACATTGAAGGACCCTGCCAGAGGGATGCTTACTAAACAGTGACCTTGGCACAACATCTCTCTCCAGAGAGATGCTAACAGCACAGAACAGCTGTAGCAGTAACTCCAACATGGCTTGCTGTTTGGAGTCTGCCCCGTTCTGGAGAAGCAGGAAATGGTCAGTAATGCTTATTTCAAGGGTCGGGAGCTGGGTGGAGCTGTTTCATCCCTGCTGGACTGAGGGTGGCTTCTTAAATTTTAGACTCTAAGCTACAGAACAAACAGCCTTATGTTTGCTAACACTACTGGGAGGCCAGGATGTTAAATGTTGCATTCTATTCAGTTTGGTTTCCATATTCAGCCTGAAACATCTGAGCATTGTGTCTGCAATGGCAACAATGATAAACACCTGTGAAACTGGCCATTTTCTCAATTAACAGCCATCCAGCTTAATGTATACAGGTGTCTGATTAAGTGGCAAGTCTGTGTGAACTTTGTTCATATGACTGTTTTCTCCCCCATCTGAGATGGAAGAGAAGGTATGGGGAGATCCTGCTAGGAAAACTTTGTAGCTTAATGCTTCAGCAGTGCAAGGATGCTTTATTTCTCTGAAAAGCACCCACTTGAGCTTTTACATATACACACTGACTTCACAGCATTGAATTGCTTACCTTGGTTTTCCTTAAGTTTCCTGAGCCATGGCAAGCTGTCTGCTCAACAGTTAATGACTTCTGTAGGTGCTCATAAGCTGATGTCAGACACTGCTGGGTTTGGACAAATGCTGCTGTCACAGTAACAAGCTGATACGAGGTCAAGGAAAGCGCATCAAAAAGCACACTCTTCTGTTCTAGGGGAAGAGATATCTGGTTCTGAGACCAGTGATTCTGAAGAGGAGGATGAAGATGACGATGGGGAGATTGGAGAGGATGGGGAGAAGCGGAAGAAACGGCGGGGTAAGGCAGTAGAGACTCTTGTCAGTGCCATCAGTCTCCTCTTAACCAGCAGCTGGTGTTAAAACTGTAGCCAGAGCCAGGCGGGGAAAAGTGGACTTGTAGAGCTGCCCTACTGCCGCTGCAATTATCATGCCTCTCCTAGAAACGAAGCTATTTGGTGCCGTCTCTGTAGATGGACAGCTCTGAACCTGTGTAGTATCTGCTTCCACTTGGGTAGTTGTGCTTGTGGTAACATCCTCTTTTGTGGTGGCTCCCTGGTTGCCGCAAGGTGGCTGTGTATGGCTTGTGACTGGTGTTGTGGAACTTCCCCTGCTCACAGAGGTGGGAGGAAGAAGACACCAAAGATCAATGGTAGACAGATGCAGGTTTTTTATAACCATGGGAATGGTTGGAGGGGAATTTTGGCTGTGGTATTAGGCAAAGGATTCATCTGTCTTATGGATGTTCAGTAACTGACTCTTCTGGTGTCCTATTTTATGTCGATAGAGGAAAAACTTGACCTTTGGGTGTCTTTGTGCAACCTGAAATGCTGCATGGGAGCTGCACATCCCTTGTTTGGGAGCACTCTGGAAATCCCATGGTGAAGTTTCCTTTGTCCTACACCAGCATTAAGCTACCGTGTAACATCTAAACCCCAAGGGATGTTGCTGAACCTAGAACTGCAGGTCACTGTGTACTATGGGATGCTGTGGCTTCCAGGGAGCTTGCTATGCCCCTAGAACCTCTCTGTTTTCTTCATGGGGAGTAGAGGAGTCAAGCCCAGTGTTACACCTCAACTTCCAGCTTTTCTAGTAAACTAATTTTGACACTGAAACTGCCTTCCTGTCCTGAAGCACTCACATCTGTTTAAAAAATTTCTGTTAAAGCACTCTCTTAATTTTGCTATCTGTCCATGTAGGGTTGTAAATGACCTTTGTCATGCCTTTGGTGATAGTTGTAACAACTTCCTTTTTTACCTCTTGGTAATTTCTTGAAGCAAAAAGATTGACCACTGTCTCCATCAAGAACAAAGTCCTGCCCAAATCTCCTCCCAAGAGGAGACCACCTTCAAAATACTGCTTGAAAGGAGTAGAGGGCAAATAACTGTCTTGCTCAACTTCCAAACAAGCTACTCCAGTTAAGTTCCCTAAGTAAGGGTGCTGCTCAGCAGGAGCACGCACAGTAACTGTCCCTGTGTAAGCTGATTCTGCTTTCCAGAGGAAAAGTGCATATTGCGATGTATATAAGACTGGAAAGGACTCCCTGGTCACTGAATCCTCTGCTACTGCAGATATCCACAGCCTTTTCCACTATGATCTGGTTTTCTGTGCTGTTGTTGCTTGAAATGGAAGCTGCCTTGGCATGTTGTACTAAGCTGTAGTCTGGTTAAGATGGGTTTTACTGAAGTGTCTTTCTGAGCATGCTATTTTGTGCTGGGAGATGGTGGCTTTGCAAGCTGAGTTTGGGAGGGATCCTAGCAAATGCTTCCTAGTGGGAACTTGTGCCTTTTTGAAGTAGGTTGCTGGCCCTTCTGGGTTTCTTTCCTTTAGAACTAACTTCCCATCTGCATGTTTCTTCCTCTCTGGGTTTTTCTGTGGGACGCATTTCTGTTTTCCAGGCAGTAGCAGCAGCAGTAGTTCAGACTCCACATGCTCTGTCATAGAGAAACCTCTGGATAAGTCCTTCACTAGTGAGTGGGAGCTCTTAAGTCCTTTAAGCTTTGGCCTTTCCATAATCTGCACACTCCATTTTGCAATGCTGCACTCTTCCCCGCTATGTCCGTTGGAAAGATAAACCTGAACTTTTAACTCTGCTAAAGCATGCTTTTCCTTTGCTGCTTCCATGCTTGAAACAGTTGTTCGATGTGCACATTGTTAGCCAGGTATGTGAGAGAATAGGGAGCAATTCAGTATGCTGCTTGAGCAAGATTTAAAGACAATTGAGAAATAATAGGTTAAAAAAACCAGTTTGCAACTCCTGTGTTAAATGCTTCCCCTAAAATATCAGAAAGAGCCTGAGCTAACTCTTTATGGGAGTTGCTACAATATGAGTTCATAAAAAGGACAGCTAGACAGGTAAAATGGCTTGTGCTATGTTATATTGGACTCTGCCTTCTCAAAATTAGTTTTGGAGAAAATGAATGGCACAGTCAATCAAACAACATGAGGTTTATACTTGCAAAGAAAACGTGGTAATGCTTGGTTGATTGTCTTTATTTTGGCAGATACTTAAAAAAAAAAAAATCCTCGGTGGTTGGGGTTTAACTGCCCCATGACGTTAAGTTCTTGATCACTGTGGGACTTAGTTCAGAGGAACAAGGGATCTAGATTTTGGTCTAGCAGTGAGGAAAGTCTGGTCTGCTTCTGGTCAGAGAGGGCTCTGTGTCTTTAAAAACCCTACAGTCGATTAGTGATGACTGAAGAAATAAAGCGCAGCTCAGGACTTAGCTTGTGGGGACTTCACCCACTGTTGTGGTTGTCCTGTATAGATGCAGTCCGCCTCTCCCTGTGTGGAGAGCAGTTCAATCACATTTATACTAGTTACGTTAGTGGAAAGCATCAGCTCAGAGAAAGTGTGGTAGCAGATTAAGAAGGATCACAACCGAAGGGAGACCTTTTGTGGGTCATGTGATGGTAGGCTTGGAACCTGCTTGCCTCAAACTTGCTCTTTCAAAGCTTGCTCAAAACCCGAGTATTGTATTTGGATGAGGACAGTTAATAGCAAACTGCTGATGTGGCAGTGGGTGGATGAGTCCATCTCCTGCGAGTTTGGAGACAGCTCTTGCGGAAGTTGCACTGAGCTTTTGGTGATCAGGACAAGTGTGATTATATGTGGTTTGAGATATTAACTGTCCTCAAGTGTGACCCTTTTGCATGTGGTGTCTTTCATTATCCCTTTCCTGTCCTGCCTTTTTTGCTGTACTTGCTCGAATGACCAAAACTGGCTATATACCTCTATGGAAGCATCAGTTACTGCAAATTAACCTACTAATACCCTGTGTAATTAAATGGAGAAATCTTGTGCTGAGACTCCCTATGCGCAACTGTCATGTATCTCGCAAAGAATTGGCTTGGAAATTTGGTTAAAACTTAGAATGAGTCTTCTGTATGCTAATATTTTACAGGTAATATAACAGAATTGGCTATCTTGGGGGGGAGCATTAAGTTTCTTGAAGAAATCGACACTCTAATTGTTTCTTAGGGCATGATCTTTGCGGCAGGCTCATAATGTTACATTTAGATTCTGCATTGCATTGAATGGGCAGAAGAATGCAAGAGTGAGCTGAAGATTATCCTGGATATGCAAAGCACTCTGAAGTACAGAAACTTTCTCTGCTTTAGCATAAAATCATGATGCATTAATGTTTGCTCTAATGGAGATTTTTAGTGATGATTATCCTGTGTTTTCTACTCTGGAAACATGCATATAAAATTATGCTTGTTCTGATGCTGATGATCTTACTCCAAAATGATCAAAACAATAATATATTTTCTTTCCTCCTCTTTTTTATGCATATGCTGCCTCTATGTGATTTGCTTTCTACTTCCTCTTAATGCAAGATCAAGCAGGTTGGTGTAATTGATTTCCACCTCCTTATAATACAATTACAGAGCTTGTGAAAGGGTCTTACAACTTGGTTTAGTTCACCTTTTTCTCCTAAACTGAGAATATATAGGAATGTGTACTAACAGTAAGAAGCCTTTATCTGGATTATCTGTTTATATGATGATCTCTGTATAGCACACTCAAAGCTTCTTATTGAGACTAATTAGTGAGAGACTTTTTTACCACAGATCCAGAAATAAGTGCTTATTATCTGATTCCTAAGTTTAGCAGATGCAAACAACATCTTAGTTTCCTGTAGTGCTGAAGTCCTTACCTTGCCACAAAACTAATTATATTCTTTTGTGTGCATGAACAAACGTGCATACAGATATGTATGTATGTGCATGCGTGTTTACAAATACACTGCATTTTGTCTGCTAGAGGTCATATATATATATAAATAAAGCTGAATGCTGTGAAGGCTGGAGGGAAGGGAAGCCTTTTATTGAACAACAACTTTCTTCTGCATGTTCTGCTGCACCAGGGGAGGTTTAGGTTGGATATTAGGAAAAACTTCTTCACTGAAAGGGTGGTCAAGCATTGGAACAGGCTGCCCAGGGCAGTGGTTGAGTCTCCATCCATGGAGGTATTTAAAGGACGGATAGATGTGGTGCTCGAGGACATGGTATAGTGATGGACTTGGCAGTGATAGGTTAATGGTTGGACTTGATGATCTCAAGGGTCTTTTCCAACCTTAACAATGCTATGATTCTATGATTCTGACCATGTGCATTATGTCACTGTGAAAAACAGTCCCTTGACAGTCAGTGGCTTCTGTTAGCTTCTAGGCATGTGGATTCCAGGGGGTGGGGTTTTTTCACGTCTGGAGAAGAGCAAAACAAGATAATGAAGGATTTGCTTGTAGTAAATAAAGGGAGGTTTAGGACTTGTGGAAGACTTGTGGATTTGAGGAAATGCACATAGGCTGGGCTCTCTCACTCCAAATAACCCCCGAGGATCTCTGTGTTCACCTGCCTTAGGCACCCTTGGGATACAAGTAAAAGTTGACTCAAGACTTGTGGAGTGACTTCCCAGAGCAGCAGCCTCACACTTTGTTTCAAAATCACAGGTGTTTGGGACCAACCCTTCAGGCCAATAGGTTCAATGAGTTGCTCTAGCCACTTCCTTTGTAACCCTCTGTGAAATGTATCTGGTTTGCTGTAGTAGTAGTAATGTTGTAAAGACACAGTTGATAAGTCAGAGCAAGCCTCAGTACTTTCAAATCTGTGGGTAGTCACTGTTACATAGATCGAATACCATCAAAAAGTTTCTTTAATTGCCTGTTTTTTATAGGGCTGTAATGAATTTCTCTAGTCTCTGTGTTTTCATAGTAGGGTGTTCTTAAAATATCTATGTGCTCACTTTGCAGTGGGTAAGCCTGTAAGGAAGACAATGAACGAGGGGTGTGGTGGGGATGCTAATCTGAAATTTAAGGATGTAACTCTTGGCAGCTTAGCTCCTGTAGCTGTAGGTCAAGGCAGTGTTTTCCTTCATTTGGCCTAATCTACATAGTTAGGACATCTGAGTTTCCAGCTCAGCCTTCTCTTTAGGCAGTGTTCCTTCTCCAAGTGTTCTTTGTATGTTTTCTATTTTCGGGGCATTACGTTAGTGTTAGTTATATAGCATTCCCTCTCTGTAGGAACTGGTGACAACTAGTCAATGTTAAAATGGGATTTGAGAGTGAGTTGTGCCCAGCTTGGAGCTGACATCTAATTAAACTAATTTGTTAAATGCAAGTATTGAATCAGAACTTGGAAAAAATGCTGTGATACAGAGACTGTCTTGTTTTTCTGTAAACGAATTTGTTTTCCCTATATCTTCCAAAGGCAAAAAGAAAGTTTCCCCTGATAAGATGGTAGAGATGCAAGCAAAGATTGAAGAGGAAAGAAAAGCTCTTGAAACTAAGCTTGATATGGAAGAAGAAGAAAGAAATAAAGCCAAAGCTGAACTGGAGAAGAGAGAAAAAGACTTGCTTAAAGCTCAGTGAGTACCCTGCTCTGAGCAGTTTGTGTGGTCATGTGGGTTTCTGCTTCCTTAATCTACAACTCAGTTATGGATATCTAGAGATGCGTGGTGAGGTGCCTGCCAAACTTTGTATAAACTGAACATCAGCTCTTGCTATTATCAAAGTGAAAGAGGAGCTTACTCTGCTTTCGGAGTTTAGAGCAGATGGAAAAGACAAACTTTATCCTTTTGCCACTTCTTTCTTCTCTTAACTTTATCTAGCTGTGCAAGATAGCCTAGAAACATAAACGAATCCTCCAAGCCCTGGAGACCTGTGAAGAGCAGCAGTAGTGCTGCACTGCTTGGTCAGTGGGCAATAGCTGTGTAGCAAGCCAGGTTTCCAGCAGCACTCTGTCACGAGCATGTCATTTTGGGTGTAGGGGTTCTCCACTCTGGAGCTGAAAAGCTGCTGAGATCGTGCTGGCCCATGCAAATAGGACAGTCCTACTGTCAGAGGCTGCTCCAACGGCAGCCAGCATTCCTGGTTTGCATCTCAGCTGCCCTGATCTCTGTTCATTCGCTTCCATTTCTGCAGCTGCCTCTGGGCACTGCTGTGCTGGCAGGGCCATGGGGGAGGGGGTGCCTTGGGTAGCCTGGTACTGTCACTGCTGCCTCACAGCCCCTCAGAGGACTTGCAGCAGGAGAGACTTCCCTGCTGACCTGGGTTTGCTTGTGAGAAAGCAATGGGAGCTGGAGCTCAAGGAACTCCCTGCAGTCACTTGCACTGCCTCACCCCCACTTAAACTCTTGGCAGCAAGACAAGTTTTTCCAGCCCTGCAAATGCTGTCTGGGCTGTAAAACTGAGCTGGATCTGCTGCCTTGCGAACACTGTAGGATAGGAAGTTTTTCACTTACCTGTCTCTCTAGACAAGAGCACCAGTCCCTATTGGAGAAACTGTCTGCATTGGAGAAAAAGGTGATTGTGGGAGGAGTGGACTTGCTGGCAAAAGCAGAGGAGCAGGAGAAGCTTCTAGAAGAATCAAATATGGAACTGGAAGAACGAAGGAAGAGAGCGGAACAGCTTCGCAAGGAGCTTGAGGAGAAGGAGGTGGGGTTATATGCTGTAGCTGTCTGAAAACAGCAATGGCAGGACACACCATGTTGTGTGCCTTGGCATTGCTCATGCGGATGAAATGTGGCTCTACTCTGAAAGCACAGCAGAAGCTAACCACTTTGGAGGCCACGTGTTGGGAGTGCGATCACTGTGGGTCTGAGCCAGCCTGGCTAAGCCAGGTCTCTGTGCCCTTGGCAAATGCTTTGTTTTGTTCAAGTAGTTTCTCCTCTTGTTCATACTATTGCAGATAGTTTCTTTGACTATGTTAATGTGTGGATGTCTGTGCTAAATGTTGCACGCAGCAAGAACGCTTGGACATTGAGGAGAAGTACACCAGCCTCCAGGAAGAAGCACAGGGGAAAACCAAAAAGCTGAAGAAAGTTTGGACCATGCTTATGGCTGCAAAATCGGAGGTTAGTGTCTGAAGTCCTCAGCCTGTGATCCCATGAGGGACTATAGCTGGGAAGGGCAAGCCGTCAGCTTTGTAACACTGGAAGAAGTGCCGTATGTTTAGAAATGTCTTTCTGTGCTGTCCATTTGGCTCATGTAATTCGAAAAGATCTAATTAAGTTTGGTGTCGGAGCTTCACGGGGGCATGTTGTAGAGCTTTTCCCCAAGCCAGGCTGAGAGGGGGTACGTGTGAGACCCTGAGATATTGAGAACTTCAAGGAAAAACACTGGTTATTTCTGAAACAAAATAAAAGTTGTTTGCTGGCAGCCCAGTCTCCTGCTTTGCAGCAGCCCAAATACTGCTCTGCTCTTAGCTGTCTGTCCTTTCTGCCTGGTGCCCTCATCATCTCTTCCTCAGTCCCACTGGGTCAATGTGTCCTTTGGCTGGTATCTAGAGTTCCTGCTTCATGAAAAGTGCATTTTGTCTTTGGGATCAGAGATGTTCCTTGAAATCTTGCTAGGGATATAACTTGTCTGCACACTCTTCATCTGCTCTTAGCTAGTGCAGAGCTTGGGTTGGCAGAAGGCCAGTTTCGTTTTTATGAAACTGAGAACTTAATGCTATTTTCAGCTATCTCTGAGCTGGAACGTTTCAAAAGGTTTATTCTTCAGAGATAAATATTCTAGTACTTATAACCAGAGTTTCCTTTTGTTTCCCAAAAACCTCGTAGAGGTTGAAGACTGTTCTTTTCTAGGCTGTTACCATGTCTTAAGCTAGCTCTGATGCCTCTCAAATGCCTGGTTTGTCTTCAGATGGCAGATCTGCAACAAGAGCATCAGAGAGAGATTGAAGGATTGCTAGAGAATATTCGGCAGCTAAGCAGGGAACTTCGTCTTCAGATGCTTATCATAGACAACTTCATTCCTCAGGACTACCAGGTAAAGACAAAGAACCTAAGCCCATGATGTAGGATTGTGCTGTGCACACTGAGCCTTCTAGCTTTTCTTCTGTCTGACAAATGGAATGAGTTGGCTGCTTTTCTCTTCATGAGGTATTGCCAGTGAACTGATTAACACTTGTCTGCTAAGTTGTAGCACGGGTGAGTTGGTGTGTATTGCTGTGTGAGCCTTTGTTTGCTGTGGCTCAGCTGAGGAGGTGCAACTTGGTTGCATTCGTGTGTTTGTGCCATTATCTGGGTTGTTAGAACCAGGTGATGTTGAAGTAGGAAAAGGTGCTTTTGTCAAGTGACTCTGGTGGACTTCTGCCAGAAGTTTAGTTGGAAGAAGGTCAGAGTGGGTGGGTGCATTTGGCTCCAGAACCAGCGCAATGATGTGAATAACATGCAGAATGGCTTTGTTGTATTTCTAAGGGGTTTTGATAACTTTGGCTACAATTCCATGGTTATGGAATCTCTTCTAGGGAAGCAGTGTATAATGTGGTGGGGATTGTAAGCAGAGGGATATGCTAATCTCAGTTCTCTTGCAGCCTGTTTTCCTAATGGTTTAAAAAAGATAAAATCATATTCACCATGTATTTAAGTGGTGTATTCACTGTGTGCTCGTGCTCTGAGTCTGTTCCAGACCTCCTTTTTCCACTGTTCTTAAAGTTGTGCTTGCTAATGTCCAGTATTAATACAAAATAGTAAGACTGAACTTGGAACTCTTCACTTCTTGTTTTCTTCCTGACCCCAATGTTCAGAAAATTAATTTTAAGCCTAAATATGATGCACACTGTTTATAGAAAATATAAAAGCTACTTCCCTTAATCTTTCATTTTTTCCATATTACAATGTGTGTTTATTGCCATCCTGATGACATTGGCATAATGGGAAACCCACGCTTTAGTGGGAACTCAATGCATACAATTTAGGAGTGGTATTTTTCTCTTCTGCGGTCTTCTGAGTATAAATAGGGGTTTTTGAACATGGTATGGCTGTCCTGATGAAAACAACTTGGAATGGTCAAGATTGTTCTAAGCAGCTTGTCCAGGCCTTTAGGGATGTATGGTCTGGAAAATGCATCTGGAGTGTGGATTGTGCAAGTCTATAGCAATTACTGTTCTAATTTCTTTCTAGGAAATGATTGAAAACTACGTTCACTGGAACGAAGACATTGGAGAATGGCAGCTGGTAAGCTAGCAGACTGGCTCATGTACAAGCTCATGTACAAGCTAACGTTAGCACGAGCTTCTGAGGAGTTGAATTGAGCCCACAAGTAAATTGATAAAGCTGTAGTCAGCTTTACTGTGGACAGTAGATGTTACTAACAGACCTTTTTCTTTCTTTAAGAAATGTGTTGCATATACAGGAAACAATATGAGGAAACAGACGCCTGTCCTGGATAAAAAAGAAAAAGATGTGAGTGACTTTTTATAAGCGTGTATTGAACTGCATAGGTTTAAGTTCTGCCTGTGCCTAGCACTGCATATTTATAGGGAAACTGTCCAATTTCAATTTTCTTTTCTTTTGAAAAGATGAGTCTTTCTAGTGTTACAAAAGCACCATTGATCAGTGTATAAAATGATTCTGATGTTTGTGTTTTGTGGGGGTTGTTTTTTTTGGTTTTAGCCCTTTGAAGTGGACCTTTCCCATGTTTACTTAGCTTACACTGAAGAGAGCTTGAGGCAATCTCTGATGAAGCTGGAGAGGCCGAGGACTTCAAAAGGAAGATCCAGGCCCAAGACGGGTAGAAGGTGAAGAACTTTGGAGTATCTATATGTAATGGGGGATTTACCTAGGGGAAGGCTTAAGTTTGTGCATGCAAACTTACCATAAGTCTTCAAACACTTGCTTAATGAGAAGACAAAATGCTAGAATTTTGCACAGTATAAAGTTTACTGGTGCCACGTGTGGCGGAACCAAGCTGAAATCTCTTTACTACAGTAAAATCTTGCCCAGAAAGACTTGTCTGGGGATTTTTCTGATGCCCTTTTGCTGCATTCCCCTCTTCTGACTTCTTGCTTTATTTTATTGTGTTCTGTGGTTCAGTTTAACATCTGACATGTTGACAGTGCATATACTGTTATTACTGGAAAGTAATGTGCTGTTGGGGGAGACTTCACCATGGGTTTTCTTAGTTATTTTTGTTTGGTTGGTTTTGACAAATACTTGTGGAAGACTAACGTTGTGTGGTTTTGACTTGAAATGTGGCTGGTCCCTGTCTTTCCTAGACAGCATAATGATGTGTGTATGGTGTTATTTTTCCTTTTCCTTTCTGCTCTCCAAACAGAAAACGTTCGGCAAAGCCAGGAGCTGTCATTGACTCTCTGCTGCAGTAGGTGTGACCTGTTCAGAATTGCCGTAAAAGTCAGTGAGTGTATAAGATTTGGCCAGAAAATGGAATTCAAGAGATGGCACAGTTTGACATGGCTATAAAATCCATGCCTTGCTGGATGGAGCTTTATTTTAAAAAAAAAAAGTATTTTTCCTTAGTTGCCCGTATATTGTATGTTATATTAACATAATATTAAACTGGTATATATGATGGTTGTGAAATTCCATGTGTTAAACGTGTTGTGCAGGGAAACTATTGTTGGCAATCCTTGTTGAAATGTATAGAAAATAAGGGTTCTAGATGTGTGTTTAAGTGCTAGACATGTTAGCTCAAAACGGTTGAAATCCTAAAATTTAAGGCTGGTAAATCTGATTTATGCCCTGCTTTGCACATAACTGGCAGCTTTCACTATTGTCCTCTGTTGCACTGATCTGTATTTGAATGTGGTTGCTGCAAACCTTTGAATTAAGAGCATCAAACCCTTTTATTTAAATATTCCTCACTGTGGCTGTTAACCTGATTGTATTGTGTATCAAATACACAGTCCTTTTCCCTTCACTTGCTGTCTTGCTGTACAAAGAAAGTAGTTGGGTAGGGGAGACACGAACTACAAAAGTATGAGACTTCTGGGGAGGGACCATGCTCTGTTTAAGTGCAACAGAAAACAAGCGTGTCTAAGTAGTGCTTTTATTTTTGTCTGTTTGCGTGTGATCTGCTGGCACTGTGGAGAGTGAGGCCTTTGATGCAAAGGCAAAAGAGAGCTTTGTGTGTTTGTTTTTCCCTTCTTTTAAGGCTGTGTTGCAGCATTGCTTTGGCTGCTTTTTATGCTTCTGAGATGGAATTATTTTAAATGTATGTGAATTGTTTTGTAATCTGAACAGCAGAGATTATTTAAGGGGAATGCTATAATACTAGGACTTGGCTTCAGCCTTGGGACTGTGAGCGTTATGGCTCCATTTTCTCATCCCTGGCTACAAGGGCCCTGGACCAGTGCTCTAAACTGAGGGTAAATTTGACTCTCCTATATTAAAACGGGCATGAATTGCCCAATTTTCCCAGAACAGTAACCTCCCCTGAAATAGCTGATGCTGTTTGTTCCTGTGTAGATTGTATCATCTCGGGTTTCTGGCTATGCTCGGAGAGGAAAAAAATTCTGGTCTCTGATAACCATTTATTTGTGGTGGCTGCTCTTTTTCTTTGATATTTATGCTGCTAATAGACACATATCACTTTAATACATAGCTTTTGTGTCACAGAGAACGCATCTCTCTTGGATTGTGCACGCTTTATAACTCATGCTGGAGCACATCAGCTGCAGGCATCTTAATAGTTCCTGTGTCAAGGTGGCGGTAAATAGCTGTAACTTCCATATAATCTTAGTGTTGCCTAGAGATTTAAAAAGCTGTGATTACTAATAGGAGAAATTGAGTCCTTAAGCATGACAGAAAGAACAAGACGGCTCCTTAGGTGCCCTGAGTTCTTGCTAGTAGCCACGTTTGCAATTACCAGAATGTTCTTGTGAAGTACTTAGAGTAGTTAAAAGTTGATATCCCTTTCTTACTGTCGTGATGCTTAACTGGATGTACCTTGTGACTCTAGAACAGGTCTGTGACAGGATCTGTAATAGTTAAAACTGGTCTTCTAAGGGCATATTTTGCTCTGGAGATATATTCAGTGCTATTCTAAATGAGTTGTAAGCTTTTCCCTGTGTTTAAAATGTGTTTTTCAGGATCATGATCTAGGAGAAGAGCATAATGCCCTCTATTTTGGGGCAGGGGGGAGGGAGTGTCACCTAAGTTCATAAAAGAACTGGTTTTGTCACCTAAGTTCATACAAGATACAAATACGAACACTGGCATTTGTTTTCTCTAGCCTAACATTTAAAGACGTAAATACTCAGATTTTTTTTTTGTCTGATCTAAGCTATAGTTGGTTTTGCCCTTGAAAGGCTGACCTTACTTTGAATGTGCTTGGATAGGGTTGGGTTATCTCGTGTTACATACTTCTCACCAAACAGGACACACTGAAAATGGCTTAAATGCTGTTTTGTCTTAGGCCTTATGTCAGCTCTCAGTCCAAGCAGAGAGATGCATAATTTTGGCCTCTACTTGTTCTCAGAACCTGGGATAACTGTTGTATTTCCCTTTGTGTTACGTCTTGTTGTGCTAAGATTTGAGTGATCTGTTTTTAAGGGAGTTTCTCCTGAACCGTGCTTTCAAAAAGACCATTGAAAACTCTTTTATCTGACAGACATCAGTGGCTTAAAGATACTACTGTGAACCATGACACTGCATTTAAAATATTTAAAACTTAACTATAAAGGCATATGCTTTACGATTTAATTAATGTTACAGTCCTGCTGCTGAAAAAATAGTACTCTACATATTTAAGTGAGCCTTGGGGCAGAGAAAACACTTAATAAATAATTGCTTGCACACCTTTGTAATTGGCAGGTTAGAGAAACTGGTTGTATCTCCTGTTACAGGGGCTTGGAGGACAAATTATGTGCTCTTACAAGAGGACTTTTATTTTAAGTGCAACACTATCATGGTCATGATGTTCTGTCAGCTTGGCTTACCTTTTAACTGGTGTGTTTTGTTGCAGTTCTGGGAATTTGTTTTTAAAACCAGGGAGTCTGGCTTGCAGGTTTACCTGTCTGTAGCCCTGGACAATCTGTGAATGTCTAATCTGTCCATAACATGTTTTAATGAGGAAGGGGTTTAGTTTGTGTGGTTTTTAAGAGCTTAATACAGCCATTCTCATCCCAGGTCAGTACGTGCTCTATAGTATTTATCAAAAATCATATTACCATAATATATATATATAGTGTGTGCTCATCTTTGCGTCTTGCTACGAGAAGATTCCTCTCATTCCAGAACATCAACCTTAACGTTGAGGTTTTTGACGCTTTATGTTGTTTAACGTTGTGTAAAATGAATTATTTCATATTTAACTTGTTCCTGATCCTTTCTTTAAGAGGAGGAGAAAATGGTCCTTAGTGCCTTTCACTGACTTACACTGTCTGCACATGTCCAGCTCTCACCTTTCTCAACAGTTCTGCTTAGCCAGTCCTGTATATAGGAAAAACTGCTAGTCTGTTTGTATAATTTGCCTTCCTATTTATTGGGTTTCTAACTCTGTTTATTTCTGATTATTCTTTGTTTTATGATTAAGCTTTATTCATTACACTGTATATATCAGTATTGTGTCCCTGGAGCATGTTCATACCATGAAATAAAATTCTTGATTCCTAGTTCCACCTCTGTGCATGTTTTTCAAATAACTTGATGCACACAGCACCTTTCCAACTCAGTTGAGTCAGAAGATATGTCAGGAAGGGTAGCTAAAATAGTCTGATATACAGCACTCCTGGAGAAGTTAGAGAAGTGAGTCTGGGGTGCGTGGGGACCCCCATTGCCAAGCCCCAGGACAGTGGGCAACAAGCTCCTGTGGCAGAGGTAGACGAGGCAGAACAGGAGGATGCTTTGCAAGACGCTGGAGAAGATGAATGGGATGAGGCCCTTGTTCAAGCCCGTCCTCTGCCGGGCTGCCCTTGGGGAAGAGGACGGCCCAGCTGAGCCAGAGCACTGCACGAGCAGCTTCTTGTCCGCTGAAATAGTTGGTGCTCCTCATGTTCTGCCTCTTGCATATGTGCACTGCATAGGTGGTGTGGCTGATGGAGAAGGCTGTTCACGCTGTTCTGGTTTTAAGCATCCTTGTGCTACACAGCAAGCCTGTCGCACCCTGTGTGTGTGCAGATAGTGTGAATTTACCTGCAGTAATTGGAAATGTTTCAGCTCTGTTTCCTTTGCTGCATAAACTGTACTGGTCTGCAGTGCATTTCTTCCTCTGGAAGACAGTTCAGCCTGCTCATGCAGCAGGTAAGAGGTTTTTTGTGGTCTGCTAACTTTGCAGCTCCCCTGAGTACTGTGACTCAGTTGATGCACGAACCAAACCCTGCACAGTCCTGGGACTTTCCAAAGCGCTCTCCCACGCTGTGCCAAAGTAAGTTGCAAAACACCTAAATACCTGCAAGACTCCAGTCCCCCGTTGCTAGAGACACTTTAACCACCACGCAGGCCTGCTGCAGGCTGGAGTTGTCATCCCTTCAACAGTGCACTTTTGCTCTCTGTTGCTATTTCTTTCACTGCTGTTGCTGCTGGAGCCTCTTTACTCCTGGGCTACAAAGGGCTATGCCATATATAAATGGCATATACATATAAATACATGGTTATAATATAAATATAGGCTATAAATAGACTATAAAGTGAGGGGAGAACTAAGGTTAGTTAAGGTTAAGGAACTAAGGTTAGTTAACCTTAACCAAGAACTTGGCTATGGACCTGGCATCTCCCTTTGCAGCTCAAGCACACACTTCCGAATTCATGGCTTTTGGAAGCAGGCCCTGTTTGTGGCCTGTCTTCTCCAATCTGGCTTCTCTTGGGCTTTTTTCCTCTGCTTAGATGTGTTTTCCTCGTGTTAGTGCCAGCCTTAACCCTGTAGCAGGACAAATTCTTTGTTTTCATAGCTCTTGCCAGCACCACCCTTGTGCCAGTGGACTCTGGACTCTGCTGTAGCCCTGTGTGTTTTTTGCAACTTATACGGCAAAGTAACAAAAATGACTTCTGATTTCATGGTTTTAAACCCTCTTATTTCTAAAGCCCCGGTTCCATCTAGGAACCTGTCACTGCTCCGCTCTCTGGAGTCAGCGCTGCCCTTCTGTGCCCTGGTTTCCAGCCCAGTCACAAACTTGCCCCTTTCTGACAACGTGGATAGAAAATACCCATCCTCTCTTCCCTGCTCTGCAGTTTCCCCTCTCTTGCCATCCCCCTCGTCCCTGCTGCTTCTGGGCTGGCCTTGGTGCTCTGTCCCAGGCACAGCCTCCTCGTGGGCCCTCGGCCTTCCTGCT